ATCCATTTTCCAACAATGGCTCTGTTTGCTCGATCATAGCCATCATATCCATTTACTAACAGATGGCTCTGCCGGCTCTGTTGCCCTATCCCTAAGGCTTTGCGGGTAATCCTTTGTTCCGATGTGCATTAGTCTCGTAGTGACTAACCTGATCCATTGGCTGTGACGTTCTGATTCTCTGACAATAAAATTAGTCTGGATAATATAATATATAAGATAATTAGAGATAGATATATTAATATATTTTAGATATTTATTTATAAAAAAAATAGGATTATATTAGGAATAAAAGTAAGCTTTTCTATTTATATCTTTAAAGACAAAGGTCCTAAAAAAGAAAACTAATATTATAAAATTAATTTACATAATACTAGATAGAAACTAGTATTATTAAGAAAAGATGCTTAGTTAAAATAGCTAACACTATAACTAGTTATTCATATATACTAATATATAAGATGGTCATTAAATATATAGATTTATAGCTAATATAAGGAAATATATAACTAATATATACTAGGGTATATATTATAAGATGTAGGGGAAGTATATATAGTATTAAATAGAACTATTAGATATATAATTAAATATATACTTTAAGGTGTAGGATAAGTATAAAAAATATTAACTATATAAATATACTTATTCCTATACTTAATTTCTACTTAGTATAGCTCTTTAATCTAAGTTATTTGGTTATATACTAAAAAAGTCAGTAAGGTAAATCTATTTAAAGTATTATAATATTTTAAGGTGCTTCTTCTATTCTAAATTGTGATTAATTAATCTTTATTATTAATAAGTCTGAACTATATTTAATCTTATTGATAAGTTACCTTTATGAACCTTTGTGTGATTCATTCATCGTATTGTACCTCGACACAACCAGTGACAACTAGGGTGGATCCAGGCGCGTGACACTGTGCATAGTCTATGACTGAAAAACGGTCTCTAAAATGGAAGAATTATTATTATTATTATTATTATTATTATTATCTATAAGTAGAAATATTTTAAGTAATAATAGAAGTAATATTATAAATTAATTTAATTATCTATATTTGATAAATAGAGAAAAAAGCATTTAAATAAAATAAAATAAACTTAAATTAGAGCTAAATTAAGATAAAGATAAAAATATAATTTTATAATTAAATATACTATTATCCAAAAAGGAAAAAGAGAAACTATAAAAAGCTTATTTTAATTATAAAAAGCCAAATTATTATATAAATAAATATTTAAAGTTAAGAAAGAGTTAAAGACTAGCCATCTTAAATTTAAAGAAATATATTATAATAATAATTTCACTAATTAAGATTAATATCAGTAAAGTTAATAAAATAGCTAATAATAAGATTAATTTTAATAAGGAAATAAAGAGATTAATTAAAAACAAAGAACAGTAAATGAAGTAAATAATAAATAATAAATAAATTTAAGAAGGATAAATAAAATAAATTAAAGAGCAAAATACTTTAGAATAACTAAAAAAAATATTTAATAATTTAAATAAGAATAAAGAAAAATAAAAATAGATATAAGAAAAATTCACTCTTAGAAGAATTAAATAAGCAAAATAAATTAGTATTAATATAAAAAAGAAATACTAATCTTATTATTTAAGAGAAAAATTAATTAGCTAGATATATATCACCTAGAGAAAATAAAGACTTATTAGAAAAATATAGTAAAGTTATTAATTTACAAGAAATTGATATAAAAGATTTTAGTATAGAAAATATCTAAAAAAATTCCCTATTAAAAGAGTTATTTTATATTTAATCAGTATTATAGAATAATAGACTAAGAATAATAATCTATAAGAACCTATAGTAAGAATAAAATGAAAACCCTATTAAAGAAGAATCAAAGGAAATATAAGATAATACTATTTAGTTTTAAAAGAATAAGTAATATAATTATATATCTATAAATACAACTTATTAAGAGAGATCTCAAAAGAAATAGAAAGATTATATTAAGGAATATAAATACTACAAAGAATAAATATATTATATATACTAATAATATAGATAAATACAAATATTTTTAGTAAATATATATAAATATATTTTATATAAGCAAGGACAATACTTTTATAATAGAATAATTAGATATATAAGAAACCATTCTTATTATTATTATCCAATGCTAGAAGAAGATCTATATTATAAAGTATATTAAATAATATACTATAACTCATTATGTAATATACATCTTATAAAAAAGAAATAAATAAGATGATTTCTAAGAATCTTAGAGATAATTAAAAAATTGAGATTTAAATATTTATAAGAATAAATAAAGTACTAATATATCTATTAAGAATCTACATACTCTTATTATAATAATATTATAATTATTAAATACAAAGTAGAAGGATTATATAAATAATATTATTATAATATTAAACAATACTTTAAATATTAATAAAGATATTAAGAAAGATATATAATTATAATAGAATTTATTATAATAATTATAGAATTAAAAGCAGTAAGTTAGATAATAGTAATATTAGTAAAAATTAAAAATAAGGATATAAGAATCTTATTAGATTTAAAAATAACTTATAATTATATTAAAAAAGAATTTATAAAAAAAACTAGACTAATTATTATCTAAATAAATAAATAGGCAACAATTATCTTAATTAATAAAAAAATAATTAATCAAGACTATAAGTAGTAGATAGTAAATATTATTATAAGATTAGAATAATATGATATATTATTAATAAATAATATTTAAATTGAAAAAGAAAATGAAAATATTATATTAATTCTATTCTTAGATATAAAAGGGGCTTTTAATTATATTTTTAAAAAATTATTAATAAAAATATATATTAACTTAGATCTATTAAGAATATTAATAAATTAAATAATATCCTTTTTAATTAATAGAGAAATAGAACTATTATTTGATAATAATAAAAGTTAAAATATATCTATAACTATTAAAATACCTTAAGGATTATCTTTTTTAGTAATATTAGTTTTAGTTTATATTTCTATTCTATTTAATTTTTAAAAAAATTTAGAAAATATAAATAATAATATAGATGTTAAAATATATCTAGAAAAAGCCTGTTTTCCTAATTATATTAATAATATTAAAATAAAAATAAGCTCAAAAGGTATTTAAAATAAATTATAAAATACTAGAAAAACTAATTATTTATTTAATCTAAAAAGAAGAGCAAAAAAATATTTAATTTAATAAAGAAAAAATAGGATTAATCTATTTTCTTTTAAAAAAAATTAAACTTAAAAAATTAAAAATTTCTAATTAAATTTAATAAAAATTAAATAAAATTAAAAGAATATATCAAATAGCTTAAGCTTATTATTAATTATAAGCTAAATTTTAAAGAATATATTAAGAATTAAGTTTCTAAAGTAATAAGGATATTTCATTAAATAAAAAGACTTTCTAATATAAAAAGAGGATTATCTTTTTAAGTTATAAGACAATTATATATTATTTATATAATTATTATAGCTAATTATAAAATCCCTATTTAATAAAAAAATCAATTTAGTTATTTATATAAATTTCAAAAATTATAAAATCAAACTTTAGAAAAGATTTTAAAGATTTTTAAAATCTCTTTATATAAAATTATAGAATTATAAACTGCTTTATCTTCTCTAAAAATAAGATTTAATAAAATATATAGATCTTATATCCTAGAAGCTTTACAATTTGAAAATTCATATATAATAAAGAAATAATTGCTAATTAATTTTATTCTAAATCCTAGATTAAAAGAAAAGCCTAATTTAGAATATTATTATAATTAGAATAACCTAATAACACCAAAAATATAAGAAAGTCAAACAATAATAACACGTGGGGTACAGACACATGATTCCGGCAAGATGGCAGTTCTTCCGAAACGGCCCAGCCCTTATCCTACGAAAAATACAAGGACAGCTTCTTCAAAGTGTCGGGTAACGACATCCTTATTGTCCCCAATAAATACCTCACCGAACTCGCGAGCATGCCTCCTGAGAAGCTGAGTCTCAACATGGCCATCGTGGATGCGTTTCAGCGGCTTCACTCAATCACTGCCGTCATCTCCGACACAGTTTGCAATCGCGGATGCTCACGTCACGACTGACGCCGAAACTCGGTCTATATGTCCCCCTAGTTCAAGAACAATTCCGCAAATACCTGCCACATGAGCTGCCCGCAACAGAGAAGGAGTGGACAAGCGTCAATGCCTTGCACCTGGCCCGTCAAATGGTCCACAGAGGCGTGGCCACCTAATTCGTCACCGAGCTAGCAGAAGATGAAGAGTACCTGTTGACAGCTATCAGCTACTCGGAGAACGGCTTTAAGCATAACTTTCTCCTGCGCGTTTCCCCGATTGGGCCAAACCCGTCGTCGCCCGCCTCCTCCCTACCAGCTAGGGCATGGACTAGGCTCTCAAGAGGGCAAAGCGCATGATCATCCCTCTCATACGCGAACGTCGTCGACGTGAGCAGGAGGATCCCAGTTATGAGAAGCCCAACGACTTCCTACAGCACCTGATGGATGGAGGCCAGGAAATCCACGATGACGTCGAGACAACAGTGCAGCGTTTGATGGTGACATACCTCGGGTCTGGTCCCTCGACCGTCATTGATGTAGCACAGGTCTTGTTCGATCTCTGTGCTCACCCAGAATACGTTGAGCCGCTGAGACAGGAGGCCCTGGAGGTCCTACGCAAGGGAGGCTATACCAAACAAGCCTTGGCCGACATGAAGAAAATGGATAGTTTCATGCGAGAGTCCCAACGACTGAGACCACCTACTTTACGTCAGTCCAGTCTTTCTTCTGTTACTCGTTGTTGTTCTTGAGACCAAGCACAATGTTATTGCCAATCGCTCTCATCATTGATGCTGGTACTAATTAACTCAACAGTTAGTTTTAACGCCATTGTAATCCAATATGGTATGCTCGGAGATGCACCTAATTGGCCAGAATAGGCTTGGTCTATATGTCCTAGCCCTCAGGCCACTATGTATGTACTGCATCAAGCCCTGAACAAAAGAAGACTAGAGCCCGCCGTCGAACTTTAGGAGTCTAGTCCTAATTCGGTAGCGTGTATACCATGCGATCTGACTTCAAATCACGGATGGAAGAGAACTCTGTCATTAGTACAGAATTTGTAAGGCCTCGCAAACAAACTTGGGCCTGACAGTGGATCTCGCGAGATTCACAGCGTTGTTGCCCCTTGTTAGATCGTTCCAACAGCGTGGAGATCCACCCGCGGGCCGGAAGACCAACCCCATCGCCTTATAAGAAAGGCGTAGAGTACCCATTTCTTGTTGGCCAGAAGCTGGGAAGCTTGCCTCTACCATCATGGACTCCAATATGGCTGCCGAGATCGTCAACACGTCCAGCACTCAGCCTGAGCTGCTGCTGACATGGCCTTTCAGCACTTCCCAGTTGCAAGGCGCTCTGCCGGATTTTCTTGCGGGCTGGTCCACCTGGCAATACGTCGTGACTTTTCTGCTTGGCGTGGTGGTCTATGACCAAGGTAACCGGGGATGTAGAGTCCATGGGATACTTCATCCAGCTGACGCCGTCTCTAGTCATGTACATCAAGCGAAAGGGTCCCATCGCTGGACCTCCGTTCAAGATTCCGCTCACGGGCCCGTTTCTCCAAGCACTCCATCCAAAGTTCGAAGCGTATCTTACACAGTGGGCGAGTGGACCTCTCAGCTGTGTATCCATCTTCCACAAGTATGTGCTCTCGTCCATTGTCATCTCGTCAGAACTCAACAAGCCTGTGCAAGCGCCCCTGCTCACACCTTACATTGCAGATTCGTCGTCCTCGCCTCCGACCGAGACCTAGCCCACAAGGTTTTCAAGTCGCCCTCATACGCCGAGCCATGCATAGTGCCGATTGCAAAAGATATCATAGGCCACAAAGCATGGGTTTTTCTTCAGGGTAAAGCCCACGCCGAGTACCGGAGGGGATTGACTCCTCTGTTCACTAACAAGGCCATGGACACCTACCTCCCGGTCCAAGAGAAGGTATTGACCGATTACTTCGACAAGTTCGTTGCCGCCAGCAAAGCGAATCAGGGGCGGCCAATGGCGTTCATGACCATGTTCCGCGAGATCAACTGTGCGCTTTCGTGCCGCACCTTCTTCGGTGATTACATATCCCAGGACGCCGTCAAGAAGATCGCCGACGATTTCTACCTTGCTACTGCCGCCCTTGAGCTGGTCAACATCCCCCTGTCAATGTATATTCCGTTCACCAAGCCCTGGTTGGGGAAGCGGACGGCCGATGCTGTCCATGTCGAGTTCACTAAATGTGCGGCTGCGTGCAAGGCAAACATGGTGACAGGCGCGACGCCCACGTGCATCGTGGACCATTGGGTGCTCCACATGATGGAGTCCAAGCGATATCGCGAGAGAATCGCTGCGGGGGAGACGGATGTAGAGAAACCAACGAATCTGATCCGCGAATTCACGAACGAGGAGATCGGAGAGACGCTGTTCACCTTCCTCTTTGCATCTCAGGATGCGTCTAGCAGTGCTACAACTTGGCTGTTCCAAGTCCTCGCCCAGCGGCCCGATGTACTGGATCGATTGCGAGAAGAGAACCTGGCCGCGCGGGGCGGTGATAAGAACAAACCCTTCGATCTCCTCATGTTGCAGTCGCTCACCTACACCAACGCAGTCATCAAAGAGCTCCTCCGCCACAGACCACCGGTCATCTTCGTTCCCTACCTTGCAACAAAGAACTTCCCTGTCACGCCCAACTACACCGTCCCCAAGGGCTCCATGATCATCCCGTCCTGCTACCCAGCTCTACACGACCCGGATATTTACCCCAACCCCGATGTCTTCGATCCCGAGCGCTGGATATCCGGGAATGCCGAGTCCAAGACCAAAAATTGGCTCGTCTTCGGTGCGGGGCCGCATGACTGCCTCGCAAGGAGGTATGTACCGCTGTCTATGGCAGGCATGATTGGCAAAGCTGCGCTTGAGCTCGATTGGAATCACCATGCTACGGAGAGGTCGGAGGAGATTAGGGTGTTTGCCACGCTGTTTCCGATGGTAAGTACTTACTATTGACTCATTTTCTGCTGTTTGTTCCAGTTTGTGGCTTGTGCTAATTCTCAACATAGGATGGGTGCCAATTGGTTTTCACGAGACGCTCCTAGAGGCGCACTGTTGTTAGTTAGACCTCAATGGCGGCATGTAGTTGTGGTCAGACAAAGTGGGATGCCTCAATGAAAGGGAGGGCGAGGGCATTCAACAGTTGGTCACCTGAAATCTTTTGGCTCGTCGCTGATGCCTACAATGGTTAATTTAGAATAACGTAATCCACCACCCACCCCACCACCCACCCGATGTCTCTAAAAGCTATAAGATATATATTATATATTTATAGAAGATTAAAGATAATATATTAAAGCAGACTATTACTTTAAAAAGTAAATAATTCTTATTATAAAAGATAATCTATTATATGTCCTTCTAATTATTTAACCTATCTTTATTATAAGGATTAATAATTAAAAATCTTTAATTCTAATTACTATATAATAAGGCCCTAATAAGTAAAATAATTTAATAAAATTACTACTATCAGCTTCTTAATTAGGTTAGAAAGTGTAAGGCGGAATCCTGGATGGAGTTAGGAATAGCTTCAAAGTATGGCGGGCATGTAACCTTATCTAGCTTTCCACCACTAATTGAACTAGCAGCTTAGCATATACTACCTTATAATTATAGATAGCCTTAAACCTTTATAAAGTAGTAATTAGCTGCTAAATATACATATATACATATTATATATTTAAATTTATTCTTAGGCTAAAGCTAAATCCTAGCTATATTCTTATAATTCTTATTATAATCTAATTGCTCATTTTATAAAGATTTAACAATTATTATCTAGAATAATTCTATAATATGTCTCTTTATATATCTAAAGATAAGCTTTTAAAGAACTATTATCTCTAATTAAATATCTTTTAGATATTAAAGAGATCTTAATAAAAAAAAAAATAAGAGTTATAAAAATAAAATTAAATAATAAAAAAAAAAGATAAAACTAATATATTTTTAATAATAATTAATAAAATAAATATTAAGACTATAGTTATAGACCTAGTAATTATAAAAATTTAAAATAAAGCTTTAGCACTTATAATTCTATTAAAATTATTAATAAAATATTTAGAAAAAGATCTTTTAATAATAATAATAAATAAATTTATTAAATTTAAAACTAGAGTGACTAAAGCTATAGAGATATAATATTAAAAAATTATAATCTAAATTATACTTTATAAATTTAAAAAGCTAAAATAATAACTATTATATTTATTATTAATAAGCTTACTAATATAGGGCTTTAATATATAGAAAGATTTAAATTATCCTAATCTAGAAAAAGAAAGAAAAGAATAAGAAATAATTAATATTAAAATAATAATTAAGGAAGAGTTATTAAATTAAAAAAAAAAATATAAATATTTATAGAAGTTATTCTTCTAAAATAGCTAAAGCTAGTATTTAAAAAAAATATAATAATACTAGTATAAAAGAACTAAAATCTTTTAAACTCTAACTTAAACATTATTTCTTAAATGTCCGTTTTGGTGAAAGCGTGGCCCTTTTCAGCATCACATGGCGCTACTTTAAGCATTATTTGCATCAGCTGGACCTTATATCTGTGTAGCCATTTTAAAGAAGTATCATTCTTATTTTTTTAACCTATATCTCTTCTTATCCTCTTTCCTCTTATTAACTATTTCCCTTATCTATACAATATTAATCCATTAGTTAATTACATTAAAATATATTATATAAGATTGCATAATACTTAATAGCTAACCCACTTCTAAAATAATACTTAATAAGTTATATCTATAGTAACTAGTTAGATCTAATTAAATAGATAAATAAATAGTAAAGCAGCTATACTTTTTTAATATTATTAAAAGCTATAATTATTAAGCCTATAAATTAATAAAAACTAAAATTAATTTTATATTTTTATTTAATTCTTTTATCTTTACTTATTATATTTTTTAATATCTGTTCTCTTTTCTCTTTCTCTTTTCTTCACAACCTAGCTAGTTATCTTTAATTTATTACTTTTAAGTATAGAACTAGTGAATTATAAGTTATTAAAAAGTATTATATATAATGCTATTATAGTCTAGAGATTCTTATAAAGATTAATTCTTAGTGAGAGTCTATCCTTATAAAGATCTCTAGCAGATATATAATTAAGCATTAATAAAGATCTATTTAATAATATTATATACTAACACGATTAAGGACTACCTTAAATAGATAGAAATAAAATTTATTAAATTTATTATCTCTCTAGCCCTATATTAAGTAAGATTCTTATTAATAAGATTAGATATTATTTAATTTTCTATCTTAAGCCCTAAGAGATACTATAAAAATATAAAATTATATAAATAAAGAACTTTCTCTACTAAATAATAAGAATATATATAATTAAGAAAATAAGCTCTATAATAATCTACTAGTATTAATTAAATTAACTATATATTATATAATAGCAGTATTAGATTATACCCTAGATCCTAAAATAAATCTTTATAATATATATCTTAGAATCTCAATCTCTCTATACATATAGAATATAATTATAGTATTAATAATCTTAGTATAATTTATTAAAAGTCCTCTGACAAAGAAATATAGCCTAGATAATATAAAAATTAATCTATTACTTTTTAAGGCTGATAATTTTATTAAGGTGATTTAGTATTATTAGATAATAAATATTAATATCTTCTCTAACAAGCGATAGTGTATCTAAGTAGCAGCCATCCTTTTATTAGTCATATATATAGACTCAAGACCTAAAGCCCTTCTCTAGATTATATATTATAATCTTCATCTTTATATAAAAAAGCATTAGAAGATAGACAAACATAAGTTAAAGTTTATTATTATATTAATTAAGATAAAATTAGATTAGAAGTACAAATATTTATAAATAATTTTAGTATAATTTATAATTCTTAATAATACTAATCTCTATAGAAAAATATATATATTTTATCTTAATAATAATCCTCTATTCTATATTATCACTCATATATATAGTATTATATTTAATAATAATATCTATAGTGTCACACGCCTGGATCCACCCTAGTTGTCACTGGTTGTGTCGAGGTACGATACAATGGATGAACCACACAAAGGTTCACAAGGGTAACTTGTCAATAAGATTAGACATAATTCAGACTTATTAGTAATAAAGATTAGTTAATCATAATTAAGATAGAAAAAGTACCTTAAAGTATTATAATACTTTAAATAGATTTACCTTACTAATCCTTTTAGTATATAACTAAATAACTTAGGTTAAAGAGCTATAAAAAACTAAATACATAATAGTAAATAAATATTCTTATATATCTAGTCCTCCTTATTCTATATATTATATATTATATACTTTCTAAAGTAAATAATAAAAAATATATAATTCTCTTCTAATAAATATTAAGCATTTTATATACTCTTATCTTATCTAAGATAAGGATATATCTTTTATATTTCTATATAATATTAATATATACGCTATTATTACTTTGTATACTCTATATATTAGTAATCTCTTATATACTATTGCTAGTGACTAGCTTTTAGTTAATCTAATATAAGCTCATACCAAATCATCCTATCCCTCTTCTGGAGTAGTTCCTCCTAGTGTCATGCATGTCGTTTCGTAACATATAGGATGCTAGAGATAAATTCTTTGCAAATCCTCTTTAGACTAAAGATTACAAAAAGCCCAAGTCTATCTATATCTTAGAAATAGAAGATGTTTAATATTCCTATCTTCTACTAGGCAATTATTAAGTTAAAATAAGATATATATACCTCTCTTATATTGGGTTTGACCTATTAGTAATATTATAGCTAGATCACTCAACTCAGCAAAGCCTTAGGCTTTTATCTAGATCTTAACTATATACTGTTTTTAATAAATATTAGATAATACTATTAATAATAATAACCCTTAGGTTAGTTAATTACTAGATACACTAAGCTTATTAATCTGTCACGCGCCTGGATCCACCCTAGTTGTCACTGGTTGTGTCGAGGTACAATACGATAGATGAATTACATAAAGGTTCATAAGGGTAACTTATCAATAAGATTAGACATAATTTAGACTTATTAATAATAAAGGTTAATTAATTACAATTAAGATAGAAGAAGCGTTTTAAAGTATTATAATATTTTAAGTAGATTTGCCTTGCTAATTTTCTTAGTATATAATTAAGTAACTTAGATTAAAGAGCTATAAAGAACTAAATATATATTAATAAATAAGTATTCTTATATATCTAGTTCTTCTTATTTTATATATTATATATTATATACTTTAAAAGTAGATAATAGAAAATATATAATTCCCTTCTAATAAGTATTAAGTATTCCATATATTCTTATCTTATCTAAGATAAGGATATATCTTTTATATCTCTATGTGATATTAATATATATGTTGTTATTACTTCATATGCTTTATGTGTTGGTAATCCTTTATATATTATTATTAATAGTTAATCTGATATAAGCTTATATTAAATTATTCTATTTCTTTTTTAGAGTAGTTCCTTCTAGTATTATATATATTATTTTATAATATCACTTCCCCTCTTTGAAGGCCTTTATTCTTAAAGGTATAAATAGAAAGATTTGTCTTTATTTTTAGTATGATCTTGCTTTCTATTTAATAAGTGATATCTGATATTCTTATTATATCTTGTTTAAAGTTGGTTGCTAAAACTAATCTATTATGCCTAAAAAAAGATTAAATAAGAAATTGTATTTATCAATTTTCTGAAATTTAAAAGACTGATTTCATTATTGAATTTTCTTATAAATATTATTGCTTCTATAATCTTAATTATATAATAAATAATAAAAATTCTAAGTATATTGCGTGCACTTATTATGATTATACCTATAAACATCGCTTTTATAGTAAAAAGGAGTAGAATATTTTGAAAGAATTTAAAACTTAAGTTTCTAAAAAGCTAGCTAAAACTCTTACCTAATAAGTAAAACTTATTATTAAAATTTTAAGATTATTCTATTATTAAGAATTTCTTAAAGAGTATAATATGAGTATATATTCTTATAATTAAAA